AAATGGAAGAGATAACTAAACCAAATCACACACACACACACTATGAAAGTCCTTCAAATTAACCTACACCACAGCAAAGTGGCCATGGCAACTCAAAGCCAGCGACTAGCTGAGGGAAAGGCAGATATAGCACTTATTCAGGAACCTTGGATATACAAGGGTCAAATAAGGGGCTTAACTAACACAAGGGGAACAGTTTACTATGATGTAGCTGGTAACAATGCGAGGTCGTGTGTTTACATCAGGAATCATGTTAATACCTTGGCTCTGCTGGAGTTCTATTCTAGGGATGCAACAGCAGTGTGGATAACATATACGTATTGAGGGGCCAGCAGGGAGCTGATTGTGGCTTCAGTCTACCTTCCATATGACTCAGGTGAACCACGACCAAATAAGGAAATGAGGGACATCACAGACTACTGCTATAGCAGGAAAAAGCAACTCATCACTGGGTGTGATGCCAACGCACACCACATCTTATGGGGAAGCACCAGCACCAACCCAAGGGGATAGAGCCTCATGGAATTTTTGGTGAGTTCGAACCTGAATATTCTAAACATGGTAATGAACCTACCTTTGTGGTTTGCAATAGGGAGGAGGTTATTGTTTTGACACTAAGGACAAATAACATAGGAAACCTGGTAAGTAATTGGCAGGGCCGCACCATAGCTCAAGCAGTTAATAGCTGGCTTCCCACCACGGCGGCCTGGGTTCAATCTCGGGTCTGGTCAAGTGCGATTTGTGGTGGAAAAAGTGGCACTGGGGCAGGTCATCTCCGAGTACTTCGGTTTCCCCTGCCAATCTTCATTCCACCAAAATCTCCATCATCATAATCACCTGGGACAGGCTACAATAGGCCAATCAGTAGCCGCCATGCCGAGTGGACCCAGTTGGACTCCACCACCTACTAAAAAGGGGGGGGGGGATTGGCATGTATGTGATGAGCTGTCTTTATCAGACCACAGATATATATGCTTTCAAATAGGTAACAGAACAACATAAGTTACCTTTAGGAATCCCAGGAGAACCAACTGGGAGTCATACAAGGATGACCTAAAGGTGAACCTGGAGATTATTTCGCGAAGTATACACACAATAAGGGACACAGATCGATCTGTTGACCAGTTGCAATGGGTCATCATCTTGTCCTATTAAAATAACTGTCCAGCCAAGACCACTCGCTTACTAAGAAATGCACCTTGGTGGAATAAAAAGCTGAGGGGGCTAAGAGTTAAAACAACAAAGCTATTTAATATAGCAAAAAGGAAACCCTCACCTGTTACAATAAAGAGATAAGGAAAGCCAAATGATCCTTGTGGAGGTATTGCCATGAGATCAATGATGTACTGGTCAGTGCCAGACTCATGAGGGTCATGGCAAAACGGGCGACCAATAAGGTTAGCACTATCAAGCTGCCTGATGGTAAGTATACCAAAACTGGAGAAGGGACAACGAAAAAACTTTTCAGAGTTCATTTCCCAGATTCAAAGTTGACTGATGATTCAGGTGATGAGCAGGGCCAGCAGAACCTGGATGTATGTGGATACATAATAAACAGGGGAGACTAGAACCTGGCTGGTCAGGTAATCAATCAATCGAAAATCAGATGGCCGTTACGTATCTTCAAACCATTTAAGTCTGCGGGAACAGATGGTATTGTACCGGCACTTCTGCAGCAAGGGGCGGAACATTTAGTCCCACACCTATGCCGCACTTTATTAAAAGTGTAGGATTAATAAAGGGCTATTCCAAGGGGAAGCACAATAGATCATTGAAAGTCGCAGTGGGGGGGCCAGTTTTTATGGCCCACCCCTTACATACATTACATTACATGTACAAAAAAACTGTACCTAATTCATGATTCTCATTCCCTTTTCCCTAGAAAAAATGTACATTTGCCTGCTGCTTCAGTGCCACTGATGTCCCACCTGACCTTCTGTACTCCCATCAAATATAACTTATATTTTGATATTTCTTTTGCAACTGTCATGAGTGAACCTGCCCTATACAGACCTCTTACATTCACATACCAAATCTCATGTATATTTTTCTTAGCTTAAGTAGTTTATCCAAAGAATCCATCTAAGTCTGAGGCCCTTTGTGACATTTTGTAACAAGCTTATTTTTTATGATGAGGAGATGTCAGCTCCATGCCCAACCCCCAAGGTGGAGGATCACTCACTGTTGACTGTCCACAACCGCTAATTCAATTTATCTGCAGCTACTCTCCATATCTGGAAGCTGTCTCCTCCATCCACATCCTGAAGACATGCCATGCCATGGGTGACAAAGGACACATCAAATATGGATCCCATACCCACTACCATGACAATTGTTAATGTCAAAATCCAGTTCTTGTGATGGTGGTTACTCCTCCCCATTCCCCTTTAACAAGAAACATGTGGCAAAACTCCTATCTTTCTGTCACTTTCCCATTGGGATACCAGACTTCTTATGAAAGGTTTCCTTGCCTCATCTCTCCAACTGCCCATCCACAAATATCTTAAACTTTTATTTATTTTCGCCTTCATTCTGATTCACTGACATTCACCTATCTCAGAGCTAGGGAATGGTGTATTGACAGAAGTGTCACATGAACATATAAATGGAAACTGATCCTTTCAGGCTAAGAAACCACCTTGTGAGATTCAATTTTTATAAATAACACATGGCAGGAAAGCATAACAAAGGTGTGCACTGAACACTGGAGAATATTACTTTACAATAACTGCAGCAAGCTGGTTTCAAATAAAGGAATATTTTGGCAACAGATTAAACAGAGGCAAGATCAATTACTGACACATGGATAATAAAGGTAAAAATACAATTTACTATGCGCCTTCTGCAAAAAAGTGGTAAAAATATGAAATGCTCAGGAAGCACAACCCCACCATTACCTCCTTACAACTTCCACAATGAAGACAATCTACCTATGGAAATATGCTTGGACATAAGAAAGAAGTAATGAAAAGCACAGTTCCAGTTATTTTTCCTTCCTCTCAACTATGGGTGCACTACTGCATAAGGAAACTTCACATTTTGATATTGCCTCGCAAAGGGAGGTTTCAGTTAGCTGTGTTGCATCTATGGAAACATGACGCTGTACCACTGACAGTGCTGAGTTGTAACATAAACAGAAAAAAAAATCTATCACTTTCAACAAAGTTATTCACATCCAAACACAAGAGGTTGTGATCAACAGATACAAAGGTATGAAAAGGGAAGCTGATGCATTAATTCCCATGAACCTCAAGAACGCCCCCCCCCCCCCCCCCCAAAATATAGTGCTAACAAGTGTAGGGGAGATGTGTCAGACGAATCGTGGAAAAAATTGAAACTACAGAATCCAGTGCACCAACTATGTTCATGACTCCTCATGTACTGAGACTTCCATTATCTCCTACATCAATGCTGGTAAACTTCAGCAAATGTGCTATTCAAAGGATCATTATTGGCTTTTATGTCACCGACAAGCACAGACTAACGTTGAAGAAAATTCACGCAAAGCTGGTGCAGTCAATCAGGCTTACAAGGAGCCTACCAACTTTAAGTGTTAATGAGGTTATGTTTTAGACACAAAACATAAAGAATATTCAACGAATTCCCTTGAAATGCCATAATAATCAGAGTTTTGAGAACATCATATTGAAGGAGTCCAGTGAAACACAGAAGTGAAGGTAGCTACATAGCTTTCAACAAAGAGACATACATCCATGGCTCTTCTCACCCAATGCCATCCAGTTGGTGTAATGATTCAATCAGTGGCCTGCTTGCTCCTATTTCTAATTGACAACAGTTAATTACAGTACTTGCTGGCAGTAACAGGATTTAATTCCTAAGGCATACAGCTCTTTTAAATCCCATCAAACCAGAAGAGATTATTACAGTGACATGGATTACAAAAATTCTGATAAGCATTTAACAGAGAGGCTGATTCCAAATCTACCCCTACATATTGCTCTGGTATTAGAAAACTATCTGTACCACAATGCTCAGACCAATCCAGCTCCAACACTGAACACATGGGGAAGCACCAATATATCTTGGCTGAATGAAAACAGTGTTTCACATACAGAAGATCTGCATAAGCCACATTTGTATGAATTAATAAGTACCTACAAGTCCATGTATCATACTGGTAAGATAAGATTGTGGACGAACAGTCATTCAGTTCTGTGGCTACCACCTTATCACCAAAAACTGTATCTAATCAAACTACTATTGACAACTGCTAAAAACTGGGTTGCTGATAAGAATGTGAAGTTTAGAATGGAAGACATGATCAAGCATGCGCATGAGAAATTCTCTTCAATCGGCAAAAATGGCTGGATATAATCATATTATTGCTGTAGAAGCTTAGTATGTCACCACTGAAGCTCTTCATGAAAAGGTCTGGAAATAGTTGCACATCTGGGAAATGAAAGTTCTGAGAGTATGCGTGAAGATGGAGATGGAGCTGTGAACATAGTGCTAGGTTATATTAAACATCTTGGTTAGTTTCATTAAATATGAACAGTGATACCAATCAACAATGTCTGAAATACTGTGGTGCAGTAACTGTCTTGCAGTGGTGTCATTACACTACAAAATGGAGCTATGTAAGTCCAAAGTCATTTTCTACATGTCCCAGTAGTTGCAGACCAGCATGTTTCCTCTTAATGCACTGCTCCACTATTATCTCCTACATTCACCTAACATGGTAAACTAATCAAATCAAAATTCTGTATTTATCAAAAATACAGAATGATGTTATGGGGACAGCATGACCCATCCAGTGGTTACCTGACATCTAAGCGTGAAAATAACCTGTAATTTGCAGTCAAGGCGGGCATCCCAAAATTTCTGCTTGGAAGGAAGAGTATACTGAATAGCATAGGAATATGTATCTGGTCTCAGCAGGATTCACACAGATTAATGGAAAATGAAGCTGGTAAAGCAGTCCTGCATCTGACTGTTTCCTTCATACATTAGATACCAAATCTTGAGTCAGAATACTTTACCTTGTATATATCCAGTGCTCCCTCAACAAATCTCTTGAGCTCTGTATAAGCACCTTCATACACTTCTGGGTCCCCCTCGCTCTTATACGCGGACAAAACACTACTCACTTCTGAATCAGTCTGTGGAATCTCTTCAGTGCTTCCTACATCAGTGAGGTTTGCCTCCCTCTTCAGCAACTCCTCTGTGTTCTGGAACACAAGAATAATGTTCAACTACTGTCATATTTTAAGGTCAAGTTGTGTACTACTGTAATCCATTACTTACTTACTCATGGAGCTGAGCACTTCTGGAGGAGCCACCAATTCTGCAGCTACTCAATAATTTCCTAGCATTTTATGGAACCCGAAGGATCATTACTGTGTTCATAAGAGCCAATCCATACTATCCCATATTATCTCTCAAAGATCCATTTTAATATTGTCCACCTGCCTACACCTTGGTCTTCCCAGTGGTCTCTTTCCTTCTGGCTTTCCCACCAATATTCTATTTGCATTCCTCCTCTCTCCTGTTTGTGCTACATGCCCTGCCCACCCCATCCTCCTTGACTTTATCATTCTAATTATACTTGGAGAAGAGTACAAGTTATGAAGCTATTGTAATCCATAACATTATTTATTATATACTGTCAATTACAACACACTGTAGTTGGCTGCTTACCCAACACATTTCCACATCTTCAATGTCATCTTCATGGGTGTCTGCTTTCATGTTACAAACTAAACTCCAGCTCAAGGTTATTTTCTGTGGTTGTACATGCTTTTGAACATTTCAGATGATTAAATTATTTTGTAGAAAATGCTTTTATAGTTATCTATATCATACATCACAAATATGGTTGTACGTATTTTAACCCTTCTACGTTCAAGAGTTTTATAACTTGATTTATATATGTAAAATACTATATGCTTCATCTAGCTTCTTGTATGCAATTCAACAATAATGGTGAACAAAGCATAAATGGCTGCTGGCATGCTGCTTGAACCTTCAAGATGTTCATGACAAAAAAATGTTTAAAATATATACAGCCACGTTTGTAATGTATGATGCACTTATCTATATGATGGTTTTCTACAAACAATTTCTTAGCATCTGAAAATGTTCAAAAGCATATACAACCACAGACAATAACCCTGAACTAACATTGAATCTGTAACATAAAAACAGACACCCCTAAAAATGACATGTAGATGTTGAAACATGTCAGGCATACATTCAACTATTGTTATCTCATGAACTAACATGCCTTATTGGTTATGTAATGACACCAGAGAACCACAGACACCACTACAAAGGGAACACTGTCATATGGTAGTGTGCACAGAATGAGAAATGAAAACTGGATTGGCAGAATTGAGCTAAGTTCCTCATTCCTTCTTTATCTTATGTTTCTACCAGCTGGTAAGGTCATAAAGACATGAACAATGTAGCTATAAGCAAATTTACCAAAGATATTTGCAAACCACAGAAAACCTGAAATAAACAATTCCAAATATATATTACAATCTGAAATTCCACTACAACGATATTCAGCAATGCAACAAAGGGGGAATGAAGGCTAATGAACTTAGAACCGTGTCAATGTGAACTGTTCTCTTTAAATTATTACTTATCTGGAGACTTATCACAGCAACACATTACATGCATTTCACAAAATATTACACAATCGCAAATTACATAATGGTTAAAAGAATAAAACATTGCCTTAACTGCATAATAACTGACAGTTTATAATTCTTAAATCAAAGTTGGGATGTCAGGTAAATGGCTAGTCAGACAATCAGAGTTTGATTTCATCTAGAAACTGATATTTTCCTTTCATTCACCACAAGAGTAAAACGGCTGCAGTGTGATTATTTACCTTCAAGCTTCCTCTGTACCTTCTTTGTATGGTAAGGTAGAGGTAAAGTTGTTCCTGAGCTTAACTACTTAATCACTACGCCATGAAGGTGTATGGTGGAGTGGATGTATAGATACATAATTGACCTCGGCACTAGATGGAGGTGAGAGGTCAGTTTCACGCTCCGGCAACTTTACCTCCGGTACCATCTGATAGGAGGTTGGGTGTACCCCTGAGCCGGTCTGGACAACGTAGAGAAGTGAGAATTCTTGACCCTACCGGGACTCGAACCCCGACCTCTCGGTCGTCCAGCCCGCAGCCAGTCCCTATACCGACTACGGTATCGATACTTAGTAAGGTGCACAGACAAAACGGTACATTAACCTACTGGGAAGTTCATGCTTTAGTCAAAAGAGTTTAATATAAGTTTCATGGATTTAAAGAACATATTTTACCTTCAAATTGTACTTCCTTAGTAACTGTAAAACAGCTAATAAAGTACTTTTATCTGACGCAAGTTTATTTCCTACAGAATCTAATACTCCAGACTGCATCTTGCAACTTATCAAACTTTCTCCTATCCAGCCCCGTGCAACTCCCATGTTATTGGTGGGAAACATGGCCTTCATGCCACCTCGGTGCAATGCTACTGCCATCTCTACGCATCCTTCATGAACTATATTTAAAATGGTCGACAGGGCCCAAAGCACAATCGGTAAGAAGGTACGCTAACATAGCAACTATGTAGGTACAAATTTATTTAATGACTAGCTGTACCCGGCCACGCGTTGCTGTGGCGCAGTCTGGTTAACTGGAAAAGAAAGAAAAGAGAAAGCGCACCTTTCTAATATGTTTAATTTCACAATGCTTGTGGGTATACAATATTTTTTGTAGTTACATTGTCTGTGCAGATATAGAGATTGTCTGGTTTGCCGACTCTAGAACACGCAACATATAATTGTCCACGTGAAAAGCATTATTCTAGTCTAGTCATTTAAGCAATTTCTGTGATATGTTCAAACTGACATTGTTTAAATTTAAACTGCATGTTTTATTAAATTAACTTATATGACTGGAATCTATTTGATTCTACATCTTTTGTTTCAAATTTTGTATTTTATACTTTTTTATTTATGTACTTAGTTCTTGCTCTATTAATTTTAAGAATAATCACTGTATGGACATGTCCTATATCTCACTTGTATTGTGGATCCATGGAACGAAAAATAAATGAATGAATGAATGAATGAATGAGTGTCTAGATCTAAAGGTCCATTCATATCATCCAGCATTGATCGGCTTTACACGTAGCGTTTCCTACAAGACAGATATTCTTTAGTACTGTGTTTATAGATACATTCATATCATTATGCTTCAATCGTTCCCTGCACGATGCGGCACGGTCCGTCTCCGTGCGGAATTTTCGGAGAGAATATTTTTCTGATACGCTACATGTCTGGACCGCGACGGATGCAATACGTACAGTATGAACGAGTCTCAGTCGTGTTCATTCACATCCAAGTGCGCTTCCATCATGGACAATGAAAAGCTGATTGAATTAGTACGGGAGTGTTCATTTTTATATGATTTACAGGAAAAAAGATACAGTGATACCAAAAAAAAAAAGGACACAGCATGGAGAGAAATTGCTCAAAAGTTACACACATCTGGTAAGTAAAGAAATATCTTATTTTAAACATTAATTAAGTACAGTGATATGTAAGTTATACTGTAGGCCTATGTTTTAGCCTATTCTTCCCTCTGGCGAATTTAGAAACCTAGCAAATTGTTCCCTGATGCGTAAAGCAGCGTCCTGACTCTTGCCTCCTTGACGTCGTATTGTATTGAAATTATTAGGTGAATTATGTGAAGTCTGGTCTTGTACATGAAAGTTCACATTACCACCGGTTTTAATGAAATTGTGTAGTATGCATGTGGTCAATATAACTTTCTCTGCATTCTCGGGTTTCAATTGTATTCTTCTATTGTACAAACGAAACTTTTGGGTTAGAATCCCAAATGCGTTTTCAACAACTTTTCGCGCACGTGACAATCTTTTGTTGAAATTACTTTTTGTCAGATCAGCTTCTTGTGAAGCAGGATATGGTCTCACTAAGTAAGTCTTCAGTGGGAAGGCTTCATCTCCAATTATGACGTGCGGCATGGGTGTTACTGTCTCTGGAAATGGTTTATCTTCAGGTATATTTAGCTTTTTCTGAGCCAGATATTTTCCAAGCTTCGAGTTGGCAAATATACCCCCGTCGCTATTTTTTCCATAGGCGCCAATATCCACCGCAATAAAATTATAATTAGCATCCACAAGAGCCATCAACACAATTGAAAATGTCTTTTTGCAATTAAAATACAAGGATCCGCTGTTAGCAGGGGCTGTTATTACAACGTGTTTACCATCAATGGCACCAACACAGTTCGGAAAGTTCCACGCATTCCAAAATGCATTGGCAATCCCGCACCATTTTTCATTTGTTGGAATGGGCATATGCGATTCCAATAATTGTTGTATAATAACGTTGCATAAGGCCACAACAATGTTTTGCACGGTGCTTAATCCGAGGCGATAACTGAATGCTATAGATTTAAAAGAGTCTCCAGTAGCCAAGAATCTGAAAATAAATTAAAGTTAAATTTAAAAATGGAATTGGGTCGATTTTATTTTAATTTAATCGTTTTCTTTTTCAGATAAAGAGTGTTAAATATCCTGGAATGCTTTGAGGGACGGGTTTCGACGTGCAATTAAGAGGCAGAAGGAAACAAAAAGCGGGCAAGAATGTGTGACTGTAAAAAATGGAAATTTGAGGATGAGATGTCCTTTCTTCAACCATATTTAAAGGACAGGACTACCATCACTTCCATAAATTGTGCAGAAGGGGAGACACATGATGAAAGCTCCAGCGACATGGAAAGAATCCCATAAGATAACCCGACATTTCCCATATTTTTGTCTCAACAATCGGGTACGCCAGTCTCCAACACACCAAAGTCCACTGCCCCATTGGTGCGCTTACCCACAAAGACGAAATCACGACAATTCCCAAAGAAACCTGAACCTCAGGAAACCTCTTCGGCTGTGATGATGAAATATCTACTGAATCAGAAGCAAGCAGATGACATCGATACATTTTTTTTCCAGTATGGCAGCAACTGTAAGAAAATTTCCACCACGCCAGAGTGCTATAGCAAAAGCACAAGTTTTTTCGGTCATTTCCAAATTAGAAATAGAATTAGTAACCCAACCATCACAACAGCCAGCGACGACACCCACTCCTTCTCCCGGCCCATCTACCTATAGCTACTCAAGTGACAGCTGGAGCTCTCAACCGTATGAGAAACAAAATTCCCAAATAAATATGAACTTCCTCAACACGGCACAAGAACAAGCACTAAATGCTGTGCAAACGTCGGACACACTTAAAGATTATTATAATAATTTCTGATAACACTGTAGTGCTACATAAGTAGAAATTAATAAAAGTAAACATACCTCAAGCAAACCGCTAGTTTTTCTTTAGGAGTTATTGCTTCCTTGAAAACCGTGTCTTCTTTAGTTATCATCACTTTGATTTTTTCCAACAACTCATTAAATTGATATTGAGATAAACGAAAATATTGAAAAAACTTTTCTTCATCATCCATTAGTTCTTTGTATAGAGTCCAGTATTCTCCTTCTGTCTTCCTTTTATTAAGCATTTTATGGACAGAAAAGCGCTTACGTTTACGTTTCTCACTATTTTGAATATTCTCTTCTTCTTCTTCTTCTAATAAGACTGATATATAACACAATTCTTCAGTAGATAGATGCAACATGCTTACAAGAAAGTATGGGCTGGAATGGTTCGATGTCCGATGATATGAAAAGTTCGCAGAAATGTCGTGCAGGAAACGATCGATGCAGGATGATATGAAAGCTCACACAAATGTCGTGCAGGAAACGCTACGTGTATGAAACGATCAATGCAGGATGATATGAACGGACCTTAAACCGCACAATTCTAAAGATTGGCCATGATCTTTGTTGATGGTGATTGCAAACGCCAATCGAATTGGGAATTGCAATCTCTTAAATTGAAATGCCACATCCGTTGGAATCATAGGAATGCGAGGAATGAGGACATCTTCACCTTTGAAAGGTCCTGTCAAGATTTTTGCTTCTACGACGTTGCTCAATAATTTTTTTTTTTACTGCAAGCCGCGTGCCGTTGCAAAGCTTTGTTCATTGCGCTGCATTTCATATTTGTTTCTTCGCCGCTGACTGGATTTATCATCTTAACGTTGAAGTGATATCCATCGGCACCATCCCAATAAATAATTGGATATTGCAGGGCATCGTAGCATCGATGAGTTTCTGCAACTTTGTCAATTGATCGTTTCTCCGATGAAGAACAATATCTCTAGGTTGGAACTGATCTCCGACTGTAACAGTTGTCACTTCGTCTATAGTTGAACCATTGAATCTTCGCACATGTTGTCCAGCAGGCGATTTTTCAGCATGAATAACAATCTTGTGTATCAGATGCCATCATGTCAATGGCTGTCTTGAACAAACGCACTAAATTTTTTTTTTTTTTCGTGAAGAAGCTCTTGCAGTTGGGAAACGATGGACCTTTTTATGCCGGTAGAAATTCCGCAGCGTGCATTTAATTCATCATTTCCATTGCCGATGAAATACATTTGTAGGAATTTATGTTGACCATCTAGGAACGGAAGCAGAGAGCCGGCTTTATGATAAATTTGACCTTTCACTTTGAAAGTTGGCATGAATTGAGCTGTTACGATTTCTGCGCCGAACGACGTCATTTGGAAGCATGAGTTCCTGATGTTAGATAGGAAATGCTTTGATTCGGCGGTATATCCGGCAAGCAAAGTTTTTAATGGCGCTGGCGGTTCTCCAAGTTCAGGCAGTTTAATTTTTCCCGCGGCGCAACACATTCCTTTCGTTTCTCCATTAAATTTCAGAGCCTTGCAATAAGGACATACCTCAGTCATAGTGCCGATGAGAACATGCCTGCTCAAACTATAATCTTCAGCTGGGCTGTGCCGGAATGCAAGGCGATTGTAATCGCGTGATTGCTGAGCACGAAGTCGTGTTTGACGCTGATCTGCTGTTTCTCGTTGACGTCTTTCAGCCACTCTCAGCCTGTCACGTTCATTCTGTTGAGAACGAAGCAGATCTGAAGCTGCAGAACGTGATCGCCGTGCTCGCAACCGCGCATCCTCAAGTCTGGCTGCACGTCGCTCTGCTGCTTCCTCGGCACGTATATGAGCCATTCTTTGCCTGTTTCGCTCGTTCGCTGATGCCCGTTCTTCCCCAGTTTGATTTGCAATTACTCGTCGCACTGCTTCCGCTCCGCGAGTACGACGACCTAAGTTTGATCTTCTGCGAGGCATTATTTGGATGAACTAAAGCAGATCGATTGCACTGAAGAAGAAGAAAGAAAGTTATAACAAAAACATATAAAAGTGCAAAACATTAAAAAAGGAAAGAATACGAACTGGAAAACAAAGAAGAAACAAAATAAAAAATACTAACGCAATATTTCAAATCAAACGCAGATCAATCGACACAGCTCAATTCCACCGCCAATTGCACTGAAAAATAACGAAAGCAGTTAAGAAAACGAAATGAAAAACAATGAAAGAAGAAAAACATAAACTATACTCACCAAATGAACGCTATGGTAAACGACACAGCTCAATTCCAATGCAATGTCACACGAAATAATTAAATCAAAATGAAAATAAATCGAAATCTATGAAAATCCAATTTAACAATGCAATCGGAAACATTGAAATGGAATCGTAAAATATTTAGTATAGCGTGTGTTGCTTTTACGTCCAACAGATGGCGCTGTTTTTCAAAAGAAGCATGTTTTTACCTGTCACAGGTGTGACATCTATATAATAGGTATATAAAAACACGCGCGTATTCGAATGCAACGTTGTGTCAAAATTTCGAAGCAATCGGTGAAGAACTTTCGAGGATTTAAGATTTTGAACAAACGAACATTTACATTTTTATTTATATAGATAATAATGCTGCGTCGTATTTTCACCAAATTTTGAAGCGTCGGCAAAAACCAATGTCTGTAGACAGCTTTCTAGCAAAAAAGAATTAGATATGTATCATACAAGTATATAATAAACTAATTATTTCGATTTTTTTTTTGTTTTCTGCAAAACGAATTCGCATTCCAAGTTGGTTCATTCCGCATAGATGATGATTCACGCTCCTTAACAATGTATATATAATTTTCTTTGAATAAACGTTATATATAATTTTTTTTGAGTATTTTTTTCGGCATGGAACGGATTATCGTATTTTACATTAATTGATATGGGAAAAATTGTTTCGCTTAACGAGTGTTTCGCATTAAGAGTAAGATTCTGGAACGAATTATGCTCGTTAAGCGAGGTTCCATTGTATTTAGGAAAGCTGAAGGTGGGGAAACTTGAAAGAAAGTTCTCTTTCCATCGGATATACATATATTAAACCTCATAATTTCCTCATAACTTACACTTGAACGCCATACAGAATATAGTTTTTCGGTTACATTTAAGTATTATAAATCATGTATTGTAAGCAACAGTACTCATGTTCCCATTTATTATTATTTTCATTAGAATGATGGAATTTGAGAATGTGAAATACACTCTTGTCAACAAGATTAAGATTGCATTTAATGATATAAGAATATCTGATATATTCTTCTCCACCAGTTCAGTACTGGGCAGAACAATATGGCAGAAATAATAACATATCTTAAAGAAATATAATGAATACTGAAAATCTGGTATCTGTTCATATTCCAGTTCAGTAATGGAAAGGATTATATGGAATAAGTAACATATCTTACAAAAAATGTAACGAATACTGAATATCTGGTATCTATTCATATTAGGGTGACCAACTCTCCCGTATTAGAGAGCTAATTTTTTTGGTTCCTCCCGGCTCCCGCATTGACCTTCTACTTCTCGCGTATATTTCGTTAACAATCAAGATCGCAAAATTTAAATGATATATTATTCCCGCCAAATACATTCCGATATAAACTGTCATTATTATCGACAGTTTAGACTTTGGGGTACTCATCGATAAATATCGGAAAATTACCTATAATAATCGATACAAAGCTTAGCATATACTAATCGATAGCGGAATATCCACACCTGCAGAAATGTGCTAGAGATGATTTTGTTAAGTTCTACTGTTGCTTGCACAAGTACATTTCTAAGAATTTTGAGTTATCAAATGCAAATCCTGTCCATTGTCTTTTGCCATTAAATTTAAACACTGAACTTTCTTTCAGACATTTTCAAACCATTGTAAAAGAATTTAATCTTGATTTTGTAAATGAGGACAGCCTGTATGAAGAGTTTTCTGGTGCAAAGTGTTCTGAATGTGGTAAAAACACGACTTACAGAACAGTGTTGGCTCAATATTTTCAGTGATTTAAGAAACAAACAAATTGATGTGCCAAAACTTGTTAATATCTTGGCTTTGTTTTAAGCATTCCAGGCTCAATTGCCCATACTGAAAGAATTTTTTCACTGATGAGCAATAAATGGACTGATAAGAGAAATCAAAGCAGCTTAGCACTAATTAAGTCAGAGCTAATGGTAGCAATTAATTATAACTATAGTTGTAAAGACTTTTTAAATTTGCACAAGAAGATAAATGCTTAGTTCTGCAGCATCAGTGGACAACTACATATAGGTTTGGACTAAGAAACATGCAAATTTGTAAAATTTATTTCATATTGTGACCTGTATATTACGAGGTAATATACAGGTATATACATTGTATTTACATACAATGTAAATTAATTTTGGTTAATATTATCCATTCCATGAACGTTTGCTGGACTGATGCTGCGCCGCTAAAAATGCGAAAAATTTGTCGTGACTAAATAAACCTCCCTTAAATTCATGACCGAAAGTTGTTCACCCTAATTCATATATCGGTTCAGTAATGAAAAGGTTTATATGGCAAAAGTAACATATCTTACAAAAAATGTAATGAATACTGAAAATCTGGTATACTCGTATATTCATATCCCAGTTCAGTAATGGAAAGGTTTACATGGCAAAAGTAACATGTTACAAAAAAAAAAAGTAATGAATACTGAAAATCTGGTATCTATTCATATTCCAGTTCAGTAATGGAAAGGTATAAATGGCAAAAGTAACATACCTTACAAAAAAATGTAATCAATACTGAAAAGCGGGTATATATTCATCTTCCAGTTCAGTATTGGATACTATTATATAGCAAAAATTAATAACATAGCTTAAAGAAATACCATACTTACTCATGGCGCTGAGCCCTTCTTGAGGAGCCGCCAATTCTGCAGCTACTCAAGAATTTCCCAGCATTTTATGGAACCTGAAAGTTCATCACTGTGTTCACAAGAGCCCTCCACTGGTCCCTATCCTGAGCCAGATTTATCCAATCCATCCATTCTATCTCTCTAAGATCCATTCTAATATTGTCCACCCACCTATGCCTTGGTCTTCCCTGTGGTCTTTCCTTCTGGCTTTCCCACCAATATCCTATACGCATTCGTCTCCCCCATTCGTGCTACATGACCTGCCCACAAAATGAAAGAAATACCATTACTATTGAAAATCTTATGTTCATGTTCACCAGTTCATTACAGGTAGGATTATATGGCAAAAGCAAGAGAAGGACTACACCTATAACAACAGAAGTGAATAACAATGTAATGAAAATGAAATACAAAAATGAAATTACATAAATAGTCCTACGGACATTCAATCCTGATACTGATTCTGCTTCTCAGAGTTTCACACTAAGGTGGATAACCTGAACTTTGCAAGTCAATTATAAAGTAATGTCTCTTCATTCTTACCTACACATAAACAAGACCCATGTGTGTCAGAAAACAATTTCCCGCACACTTCTCAATTGAAATATAATACTTGAAGATAAAGACCAGAATGAATTCTGACCCAGTGAAGTTCTAATATTCTGAGACGAAGGAAACATGTTTGCAGAGCGGGAAAGAGATGGAGCTCAAGTTCAAAGTAGGTTTCTTGTATGTAATCGAACTGTGGATGACGATGTTATCATTCGCTGCACAGTAGTTTCTGTTGCTGCACTGCAACTGCTTGTCACCAGGGTTACTTTCTCCAACTTATGAAACATCTAATGATGCTCATGTTACTAGTTGGCACACATATTCTTCCTGCAATTCCATAACTGCTGTCAATTTCTACGGTTGGTATGGGCAGGACATTATAAGGGAAAAATGAAGAAGCATTACTTTCCTAATGACTTACTGATGAGTCAGTATCTTCATCTTCCTCTCTGTGGCCCGCTGCCTGGCAGCTTCAGTCATCAAACTGTTTCTTTGCTTACATCACCAAGGAATGTAAATTCTTGTGAGACATCTCACAATACCATCTACTATTCGTTGGCGGTGAAGTGAACAACCAGTGCACATAATCCACTTGAAGTCAATGGTGCTCTTGATGGCAGCTCTGATATGCTGCTTCACTGAATTCAAATGGGCAGCCTCTGCCATTATAGACTCCATCAGAGTTACAGCAGTACCAACAGTCTCCACCAGCTTCTCAGAAGGAGAGGTGAGAGACTGTTCTGCACTGCACTCCTTGGCCGAAAGCAGCACTTCAGATATCAGGCATGTCTTGCATGCATCACAGCTGAAATCTAGAAGAACCTGTCTGACAATAGAACCACTGATGTAAGCTACTGAGAACACTTCCATGTCACCAGAATGTACTGCAGGACTCGTGTCCATCTGTACTTACTGGGCAACATGGAAACTCTCAGGCACACCAGCAAGGGTTTCCTTGTCATGACTTGTGGAAGGATTTTGTGAAGCAGCTTCAGGTGCCCTGAAAACTGATGTAGATTATCCAGAAGAGCACCACCATCATCCTCACAATTAGAAATAAACACAGAGATCTAAGTATAAGTTGCTGTCTTGTCACCAGAATGCAGGGCAAAATCATGACATTAAGAAAGTTAACAGATGTTTTGAGTGTGTGGCACAGTTCAAGTATTTTTGAATGGCTATAAGAATCAAAACCTGATTCGGGAGGAAATTAAGAGGGTACTGAATCCTGGTAATGCTTGCTACCATTCAATCCAGAACTTTCTGTCTCCTCCCATGCTGTCTAAAAATGAAAAGTTAGAATATGCAGAACTACAATTTTGTCTGTGGTTCTGCATGGGCGTAAAACTCTTTTGCACTACATGTTTAGCACTAATGTGCCATCTTCAGGTGCGTTTTCTCTATGCACGTCTAACTATTGCATTGCATGCCCTGATGTCTTCATACTAAAATGACTAAAATATATAATCGTCATATATAATAATGGATTTTAAATATTAAAACTTTTTAGGATTCGTCATCCTTATGTCGTATCTCAATACGCAAATCATGCCAAACCACCTCTGTGGGAGCACTCTTCCTACATTCATGTGTATTGTGCTCTTTGTTGTGTCTTGCTCCTGTGACTGCGTGCGTTATGCACCAATTTAGAAATTTATTCTGGTGAAGGAAAGAAATTACAAGAAACTATTCTTTCTGTTTTGGAACTCTATCTTGATCAAAATTACCATGTCTATCAAGACAATTATTATAACAGTGTGGCAACTGCAGAACACCTATTTTCGAGAAAAGTATGTGTTTGTGGAACAATTAGGGTGAACAAAGGCCTTCCTCCAGATCTGAAAGAGGAATGTAAATCCCTGAAACGTGGTAAAACCACATTCAGGAGGAAGGGGAATATTCTCCTTCAGTCCTGGAGGGATACTCGTGTTGTGAATATGATTTCCACAATTCACAATTCGAGCATGGTTGATGTTCAAAGGAGACACGGACAGGTAAAGAAGCCTGTTTGTATTTCCGAGTATAATATGTTCATGAAGGGAGTTGATAAGAGCCGATCAGTACTTGCCCTATTATTCTCTTCCTCGGAAAACAGTAAAGTGGACAAAGAAAGTTGCCTTGTGGCTTAAAAATTGTGCCATTTTCAATTCATTTTTGGTTTTCAAAAATCTAAACCCTCATTCAAAACTGAAATACAAGGCATTTCTGCTGAATGTGGCAAAAGCCTGGGCTACAGACCACACAGTGGCGGCACACACAATCTTAGCACGACTGGGGCCGTCTACTTCCACCCCACGCAGGCCTCATTTTGACCCCCCTGGGTGACTGTCGGGTGATATGCGGAAACATACCCTTGCGAAAATTGTGAAGAGTGAACATTTCAAGGGGAAGCAGCATTCTAGGCAATGCCGTGTTTGCGCAATTCACAAGAAAAGGACTGCCTACATTTTCAAGTTTTGTGTAATGCCACTTCACAGAGGGAATGTTTCGAGAAATATCACACCCAAGCACTTCTAGAAGCACTGGTAAGTGTTCTCAAAGAATTTTAGTTCATAAAATTAATTAGGAGATTTTATATTAATTTTTAAAGTGAACAGTGCACAAGTTAGGGTAGTAGGTATAAAAATGCCAGTCCACAGGGTGATTTAAATATTTAAATTGCGGGTCTGCAAAGTGTTTAAAAATGCTGTATCTAACACAATTTTTATGATAAATGGATGGAATTAACTTTGTTTGTATCAGCAAAGAACATAGTGTCGAATATTATAACGGAAGATTTGAAAAATTTTATACAAAGGGTTATACTCCATGTTCAATTTTTTTTTTAACTTTGATGTGTACTGTAAAAATGGTTTTAAAGTTCTTCACAGAGTTGTTCTGCATTATAAATTAATTTCTGCTTGTAACACTTGACAAATTTTAGCAGTCCCTGGTGTCATAAAACAGATGGAAGCAATAAAATCATTTGGTTCTCTGCTGGAAAACCTTACATCTTTGTTACACCCTTCAGATTTTTGAATCTTTTGACTAAAGGACAGAAGACTGAAAGCATGGACAGTCAAGAAAAATCTAGAGGGAACAATTCGACAGTCACTTCATCAGTGCTAAGACCTTCTGTTACAGCTGAAAGAGTTTATTGCCCTTTCTATGGCCGTGAACAGACAGTTGTATCGTGGCTGAGATACAGAGTGCAATCTGTTTTCTGTGTGTTCATAGTGAAATTGAATACTGTAGTTTCATTTCAACCTACATATACATCAAGCAAATAAAAACAAAAAATGTATGTACATCGAATTTTACTATATATTTTAAGACATTAATCTGCAGAATCTGCAATAAAAGTACTGGCTTGTGGATGAGTTTGGTCATAACTCATACGTATACTCTTTTTTGTTGTTCATTTAGGTATCATTTTAATTCCTCTATTATGGTTTTACTCAAGTCTGTCTGGTAATTACTATATTTAAAAATAAATATTTAGGACTGTGCGTGTGCTTGTACTAGTGGCGTGTGCGCGCTTCCACTAGTGGAGTTTAAATGCCCGGCTGGCCAAAACGGGGTACTTTGGCCATAATGACCATACTCATCACTGGCCTGATCAGGGCATTTCAGATGTTAAAGGTTAAGGGAGGAACACAGACTGAGGGTGTCTGGGAACAGGGTGCTGAGGAGAATGTTTGGATTGGGGACAGATGAAGTGACGGGAGATTAGAGAGAACTAGATAATGATGAGCTTCATAACTTGTGCTCTTCACCAAGTATAATTAGAATGATCAAGTCAAGGAGGATTGGATGGGCAGGGCATGTAGGACGAATGGGGCAGAAGAGGAATGCATATAGAATATTTGTGGGAAAGTCAGAAGGAAAGAGACAATCAGGAAAACCAAGATGCAGGTGGGTGAACAATATTAAAATGGACCTTGGAGCGATAGGTTGGGCTGGTATAGACTGACTTGATATGATTTAGGACAGGGACCAGTGGAGGGCTCTTTGAGCACGGTGATGAACCTTTGGGTTCCATAAAATGCTGGGAAGTTCTTGGGTAGCTGCACAATTGGTGACTACTCAAGAAGGTTTTAGCTCTATGACTGAGGTGTGAATGAAGATGTTTCCATGTCATGGAGTTTCCTTTTGACTCTGAAGTGAACTCATAAACCCACGTTTCATCTCCTGTAATGATGCTTTCCACAAATGATACTCCATCTTGGTAATGGCATAGATTATCAAAAGCAGCAGCCATTCTTTCACTTCTGTGCTCCTCAGTAAGCATTTCTGGAATCCGGTGAGCAGACACTTTATGGAAATTTAAATGTGTGATTTCATGAACAGTGCTTTTTGCAATACCTGTCACTTCAACAATTTCACAAAATTTGATTCTTCGGATTCCCGTATCAAGCCTTCGACGACACAACTGTCATCAGCGTGCGAGGTCCTTGGTTGGTCTGTGTTTTATCACTCAGTGCTGTTCTGCTGTCTTTAAATTTTTTGCAACTAACAGTCATTTCCATTCTGCTGAAAACGTTCTGGCCATAAACACTCACTAATCTGTGGTGACTCACTCTGACTCCCTTTTTCTGCTTACAAAAATCTGACCACCACACAGCCCTCGAACTTAGAATAATCTTCAGTCACACCGGCCATTTTGTTCGCTTGTAAAGCACAGACACATATATGAAAATTGAGGAAACTAGTGCAGCTGCTTCTCCTCTAACCGATGTACCAATACATGCAAGTGATGGCAAGATGTTGCACACAGGCCATTATAACAAACAATTGTTCCTTTAATATTACACCACCATTGTAGTTTGTTCTTGACAATGAACTTCTTCTTTCCTTCAGGGAGTGATAAGAGGCTTCTAAGATCCACTAAGGGAGACCCTGTCCTTCCTGTTCATGTCATTAGGGCTGAATTTGATCTCTACTGCATCTTTATAAACTGGTCTCTGCACCTGTATGCCAGCATGCTGATGCTGTTCAGCAGGGTACAATGAACCAATTCAATGGTGGGTTCTGCCATGGCCAGTGTCTCAGCCTGATATAGTCAGATGTGACTGTGATGTTCATTAACCCTGCTCTTGATGGGACAACTAGTGTCTCCTATGCACACCTCCTGACACTTGCAGGGAATATCAAGTGTCTGATGCTTTCAGGCACAGGTCATCTTTCATGGGACAAAGGAAGCTAATGCCTACTGTTTTGATGTTATGCTTAGCTAGCATCATGCTGATGAGGTTTAAGGTGTTTTGGATGAAGGGCAGGAAGGCCACTGCTGTGAAGTCTTACTTACTGCTGGGGTGGGTTCAGAGCCTGACCGTTCTTCATACTATAACCATTCCCATGGAATGTTCTTTTTAGTGTGTCAATTCAGCTTAGAGACTAACCTTGCTGCACATGACTATGGCCTTGTGTGCTAAGTAGGACAGCATGTTGCTTGTTCACTGGTCCACCTTAGCACACAAGGCCATGGCCATAGTATATGATGTGGGTAAGAGGGAATTTTCGATAGAAACTCATTTAATATAATCAAACAGGCCACTGGAAAGCATGGCACAGAGCCTGCAATATGCAGATGGATCAGTGCTATGCTGGAAAGCAGAACCATAACTGCTACATTATCAGGAGAAACCCTGGGGGTGTCCACAGGGGGACATGCTCTCACCTCTGCTGTGGGGCCTGGTCGTTGACGATCTCCTGTGGGGACTTAATGATGATGGGTATTATACATTAGGATATGCTGATGATATAGCAATCCTCATAAACAGAAAATTCCTTTGGACCAGGGGTTTCCAAACTTTTTGAACCGCGGGCCATATTAGATAATTCAGCACTTTCAATGGGCCAGATAAAATTAGAAATTAAAAACTCTAGGTATATGAGTTTTATTGAAAGCACAGAATTTCATAAACTAAATACAAAATACGTGAAAATAAATTATCGTATATTAATGACAACAGATAGTAGCAGCAAATGCTCATATTTTCATCACAAATTACGAAGGGGGACCCAAAAATAACCGGAACCGACCTGTTGTGCGCGCATGCTTTGTAGTTACGAGTTGTGCTGCTAGGTGGTGTTAGCTGGGGGTCTCCCACGACTGTTAGTGAGCTGGCGTCAGTCTGAGTTAAGTGGTTTGTCTGTGGTGCTCTGTTGTGTGCGTTCCTGTTTCAACCCTTTGGCGATTAGTGAGATGGCCGACCAGAAGGAACAAAGAGTGTGCGTGAAATTTTGCTTTCTGTTAGGGAAAACTGCAGCCGAGACTGTTGGGATGCTTCGGCAAGCCTTTAATGATGATGCTTTGGGGAAATCACAGGTCTACGAGTGGTTTTCCCGTTTCAAATCTGGCAACATGTCAACAGAAGACATGCCACGCCCCGGGCGTCCTTCGACAGGAAGAAATGACGAAAACATTGCCAAAATCAAACGTGCAATTGATGAAGATCGTCGAAAGACCATTGACCAACTTTCTGAGGAAACGAACATCTCATGGAGCACGGTCCAGCGAATTTTAACCGAAGGTTTGCACATGAGACGGGTGTCTGCAAAATTTGTTCCTCGCTTGCTCGGAGATGACCAAAGAGAAAACCGCGTGAATGTTTGCCGCGACTTGAAGAGTGAAGTGCAGAACGATCCAGAATTTCTTAAAAGAATTGTGACTGGCGATGAGTCTTGGTGCTACGGGTACGATCCAGAATCAAAGCAATCATCAAGCCAGTGGAAAACTCCAACTTCACCACGACCGAAGAAAGCGCGTCAAGTGCGATCCAATGTGAAAACAATGTTGATTTGTTTTTTTGATGTGAATGGCATTGTCCACAAAGAGTTCGTTCCGCCAGGACAAACAGTGAACCAACATTTTTACCTGGATGTGTTACGAAGATTACGAGAGAGTGTGCGACGAAAACGGCCCGAAATGTGGAGAAATGGGAACTGGTTGCTTCACCACGACAATGCTCCAGCCCACATAGCTTTGATGGTCCGACAGTTTTTGACAAGCAACAACATGGTGATTGTGCCTCATCCACCTTACTCACCCGACCTGGCTCCGTCGGACTTTTTTTTTGTTTCCACGGATGAAGAGAAGTCTGAAAGGAAAGCGGTTCCGTGATGTGGATGAAGTCAAAGAAAACACGCTAAAGGCTTTGAATAGTATCCAGCCTCAAGAATTCCAGCACTGTTTTGAGCAGTGGCAAAAGCGTTGGGACAAGTGCATAAATGCACATGGACAATACTTTGATGGGGACTAATATACAGTTCAATAAAAATGCAAAAATAAAAAATAACAAAAATAAATTCCGGTTATTTTTGGGTCCCCCCTCGTATAATAAAAGAATTAATGTGAATGATGGAATGCTCTTTGCATTCTTAAAATCTGATTAAACTGAGGTTCAAATTATGAAATGCTAATCACAAGTAGCGACTTTAAATGTTCATGGGATAAATTTGCTCTGTATTTCGACTTGATGTACTTCATCTGGGAAAAAGTTTGTTCACACAGATATGTCGTCCCAAAAACGGAGATAAATTTACAAGCAAATTTCTTTAAATTTGGAAATTGCTCAGAGTTCAGAAATTTATAAAATTTTATCAAATTTCCTTCCTTGTATTTGTCTTTAATATGATAATTTTCTTGAAGTTCAATAATTTCCATTTGAATTTGACTTGGGACATCTGCAGCATCACAGTCAAATGGATTTTGAAACAATCTAATTTCCTGAGCACTGGAATCCAAATCAGCAAATCGCTTCCAAAATTGTTCTTTCAAATCTGAAATGACTAAATTTGCAAACGAGGAAGGAAATTCTGCTTCACCCTTTTTATGCAACTCTGCACAGTATAGCATATGAACAAAGTTACAATTTTTCACTTGGCTTTCCAGAAGTATCAACTTTGCTCTGAATGCCTTGATAAGTGCAAATAAATCACAGACTAAGTTATTTTCACCCTGCAATTTTAAATTCAAATGGTTCATATGGTTCACCAGATCAGCAATAAAGCTAATTTCCAAAGCCACTCGGTATCTGATAAAAGTTGTTCATGATGGTTTTTCTCGGTAAGAAATATATCAATTTCATTCCTGAACTGAAAGAAGCGCGAAAGAACCTTTCCACAGCTAAGCCATCGAACTGAAGTATATGTCAGGTCAATAAGCTCGGAATCACATTTACCTGTACTCATTTGAAAATTAGTTCAATTGGTGCATTTCTGCACAATTCTTTCGCGGGGTGGATAAAATGATGCCGCGGGCCGTAGTTTGGAGACCCTTGCTTTAGACAGTATCAGAGCGTCTTCAAACATCTCTGTACAAGGTTCAACGGTGGTGTGAAAGAACAGGTCTTTCCATCAATCCCAATAAGACAGTAATTATACCGTTTACCAGGAAGAGAAATATAAAGGGTCTTAAGGAACCGAACCTCTTATAAAATGATCCAGCTCTCCAGCGATGTCAAGTACCTTGGTCTAGTATTAGACAAGGGACTGATATGGAAAAAGCAGCTAGACAAGGTCATCAATAAAGCCTACAAGGCTTTTTGGACATACACAAGCATGTCTGGTAAAACTTAGGGGCTCCAGCCGCATGTTGTGCATTGGATATACACTGTGGTTGTAAGACCCATAATTACATATGGCACCACAGTATGGTGGCCCAGAACTGAACTCAAGACAAGTAAGACAGAACTTAGCAAATTGCAAAGGTTGGCTTGCTTGGGTATCACAGGAGGAATTCAAACATCTCCAACACCTGCACTGGAGCTAATCCTTGGACTTCCCCCACTGCATCTACAGTTGGAGGCAGAGGCCAGGGCAGGAATATGCTGTCTCCAATGCAGTGATCAATGGAAACCTAGATCCGATAGTTTCGGACATGCATAAACATAACAGAGTACAACTGATATGGGTGCCTGGACATGAGGGTATTGCTGGAAACGAAACAGCATATCAATTGGCTAAGATTGGAGTTGAACATCCGTTCATAGGACCTGAAGCAGCCTGTGGCATCTCCACAGGAGTTGCCAGAAAGGCAATCAGGGACTGGACAAATAAGAAGCACAAGAAATACTGAGGATCCTTGACTGCACTCATACGAGGACCCTCTGGTAAGAGAGCGAAGGAACTGTTGAAGTTAAACAGGAACCAGGTACGATGGGTGGTGGGACTACTTACAGGACACTGTCACCTTAAAGGACACCTCTTCAAACTGGGACTACGTAATAGTCCCACTTGTGAGAGGTGTCAAGAAGAAAATGAAACAGGCCTTAGCTTATTTAATATTATGTCACTTGGGTCAATACTTTATGGAACCAAGTGACTGTTTCGACACTCCCATGTACAAAATCTTGAGCTTCACTTGAAGCGCGGGATTGCTGAGGGGATAATCAAAAGGGGAAGCACAATAGATCACTGTAGGTCGCGGTGCAAGGGCCGAGAAGGCCCACCCCTTATACATTCATTCATATGATGTGGGTATCAATTTAATGCATCTTAAAAATGGCCCATATTGTATACCATATATACTTTATTTAAATTAAAAAAACATGTTACTGAATACAGAAGATAGAATATTAATTTTTCTGTACCCCAAAACTGTCACATAAACTGTGAATAAATCAATTTATGAGCAGTGAAACAGTATGAAACATTTATTTTTTCAGTTTTGAATAGTCTGAAACAATGACATTACTCTAGAAACAATTTATATTTCACAATTATAAAAGAAAGCATATAACTGAGGCTTTTCCTGGATTCATTTTTCTATTAACGACAATATGAAACTCGTCTGAATTTTTTACCATATTTGTTCATAGTTTTTAAAATATGGGACACATTCAAATAGCTGGTACTTATTAACTGTACTTATACAATGAATATAGCAGATTTTGGTTTTGTGACATGTTTATATAAACATAAGAATTAGTTGGGGTTCATCTAGGGGTATGGCACTGGACTAGTTGCAAAAAGGTCGTACGTTTGAGACCACCTACACTCATCCTGAATTTATCTCATGCCATTTTCTTCTCTCAAATTAAAAATGTGAGGATTACAAGATCCCTTTTGTGTCTGCTGGAGTGTACCAGAATATGACTTATCAACAAAAGCTGACAGGATGTAGAACACTGGAATACAGTAAGAAATACACACTTTTGTTGGGAGTTATTTTCTTGTGGAATGTAAAGTAAAAAACTATGATCACACTTTATTAGTTGATAACCACTTTAACTAGGCACGCAAAAATCTGTAAAATGAAAGAATATAAATATAATTATTAATTTTATTAGTAATAGAAATTATATACTATTTCTGCATTAAAAAATTAGCTTAGCCCAGTTTCATCTGCTAACCTTCAAGTATCAGAAATGGAAATGCCGCACAGATATTTCAAGTTTTGAATAGTTATTCATTTAAGGAAGACAGTAGTCATCACAGCTTCTTACCAGAACTTGTATAATGAGAAGAAATTGTATCCTATTATGAATCAAAATGTCAACTTCACTATCGCATAATCTGGAGGCTATATCCATTTCGACTTCATGACTTTCCAGGTTTTGCAGGAGGCTTGGCACTGTTAAGAAGATCAGACACCTGTTTCTCTAGATAAGGTGTCTTTTGAAGAGTTCCTCTCAGTGACATCTTGCTTGGAATTTTTGGAACAAATGGTCTGCGGGCTGGTTTACCTGGCTCTGCAGACTGGAGGGGGGGGAATAATAAAATATTAACATATTTTTTTATCCTATACAAAATTTGGTTTCCTGTTCTCAAGGAGAATGTTCAACCTGATGGATATGAAGTAATAGAATGGAGAAGACTGATTTGGGCTATATAAGTAAACAACTAGGGCAGATCAAGAAATGCATATCAGTTCTGTAGAGAAATCACACTAAAAGAGTATCACAATGGACCAGGAAACAGACAGTGAGAAAATGAACTGGATTAGGGTCTAAAGGCCTGCTCAGTGATGAATGTTAAAGATGTTAAATTTAGGTCCAGTTTAAAGAATAATGTTACATACCATAGCTTGTTTATTTTCCACAGTACTGTTTTCTAAGGATCCTGTCACCTTTGCAACAACCATGCCAGTGTAACCAGATAATTCAGCAGTCTGTTCAGTATCATCTGCTTTCTGTCTACTGTCTGGGAAGAGAACATTTCAGTCATTGTCATATAGTTTTCCTACCTCTTGCTAATTTGTTTCCCCTAACAACTTTTGAACTAAGTAAATCACTTCATGAAAAATGGTATGAACATCATGCACTTGCGAGGCCACCAAATTTCTGAAGTTTAATTCACAACAATTAAGGGCATTAAAGGTTATGGTAAAGTGAGGTAAAGCTATTCCTGTAACAGGCCGTGGAGGCCCATAGGGTCGTGAGACATTAAGGCTACAACATTTCCTGGATAATTGACTCAAAGATCATGGCGAAGTTTTTAGCCTTATGTGCTGGCTGCCATTTACCCCCAGGAAGATTCCTGGTACTCATTTCTGTTAGAGGCTGAGTTGATCCCAGGGTCACAGTGTTGCTGGACAGATTAGGTTGAAAAATCCAATGACTTCATCAGCAATCGAAACCACAACATGCCAGTTTGTGGTTGTGGGAAATCTTGAGGCCTCAGCAACAATATTGTCCATTAGTTCATGATTCTGAAATTTGGTGTGTGAGTACATTTTAAGAAATATACAAACTGTAATTACAGTTCCAACCTCTGCCACAGTTTTGTTGAACTGGTAAAGAAATGAGACAGTGAACAGTGGTGTCTGAGTCCACAACGATGAGAAAAAAAATTCTGCATACTAAAAGATTCCTCAGAATGCAAAATATCTGCATTTGGCAAAGAGATATCACAAGAATAACTGAGGTGGTTAGATGTTATGCATCAAACAGAGATTGTTTGTTACCTACTTTCTACATTAACTGCCTGCTTCAAGATGAGGTACTGCCAGCCCAACTCCTGCTGCACAGCTTCACACTGTGCTTCTAGCAGCTCTGTCTGTTGCTTCAGATCCTGTATCCTATTATACAAACCATGTTAATATATTCAGTACTGTGGTCAGGTACTTCAAATGTAGTGTGCATGCAAATTATCAATATGTGACTATCACCCATGTACAACTTACAAAAGGGTGTATAAGATAAAGTTTTCATTAAGACTTCTAAATAAAACAGCACTGTTGGTAAAATGAGACTATCCAGTGTCTCATTTGATCTTTGTTTCGGAGAATGGGAAACCTCACTAAAAAAAACATGATTACTGTATTACAGATGGGACATCTGGTCACTCTAATGTAGAGGAATATTCTTTTGAAGACTATGGGAGACTATGGGAAATTGTAAACACATCAGACAAGTTTGTATTCAGGATAAGATTTGAATTGGGCATATCTCAAGTATAAGTCCAGGTCCACAACTTGCAGCATTGGTGGTAGAAACACCAAGTAAGATACTGTATTAATAGTATGGAGACATAATTCTTACATTAGCACATTACTGAAATGTGAAGCTACTCACTCCTGAAGCTTGTGTCCATCAGTGGGACTGGGGAGAAGATGAAGGTGCTCTTCCTGCACTGATGCCAAATGTAATCTAGACACTTCCAGTTTTGTATCTGCAACAGACAGTTCAGCCTCCACTGCTGCTATAATTGATTCCACCTGATGCTCATCCTCACACGCATGAATGCAGATTCCTGCAGCAATCACAGGCCATCACTATTACAGTCAAGTGAAAATGAACTGAACTTGAATATCAGTAGTTTCAGAACCTCCCACATTCTAACACACAGCTTCGTCGGTCTAACAGACAGCATTCAACTTCTGCTCAAGCCAAGTCAATGTCACATTGCGACCAGCACTGGTATTTATACAGCACTTGCTGTCCAGCCCACCTCTAGATCATCGCGTGCACTGGCCAATCAGTGCTCACAATCGCAAGTACACCTTTAGCTCTGCCCAGCAAGCATGGTATAAAAGGTGGAGCTCAAAACTCACTATCATCAGTTCTTCTTCAATCGTCACTGTGTTGAAGACAGCTAAAGCAGCTACTCCAATGTCATGAAGCAGCAGCAGCTCTCCAGCAAACAACACTGAGACAGGGGACTACACCAGCACCAGGCCAGTTAGACTCCACTCTCACGCCGACTCGTAACTGCCGGGTGGCCATAAAGAAGGTCCGGACTATCCAACTAGGTTCGCCGCTATCGCGCTTGCTCATAACCACTCAGCGATCGTAAAGGAAGGCCCAAGCTACTACTAGCGTAAGCACGGTGGAACAAACGTCCCCTTTCAGGGCCAGCAAACTTGTGAGCAACTATTCTGTACATTTGAGAATAATACATATAATTGTTAAAGTTTTGCGTGGTTGTCTCGTAGAACATCGACATCCCACACTGGTGACCATGACTCAGCATGGACACCGCAAACAGTTCGTCAGCAGGGGTGTCCAGAGTGGCCGTGTGGCTCCTGCCATTCTGGCCCGAGCGACCAGCCTTGTGGTTCGCCCAGGCTGAGGCGTAATTCACCTTGGCTGGTATTAGCAGCGAGCACATCAAGTTCTGTCATGTGATCTCGCAGCTGGACCACCAGTATGCCAGACGTGGAGGATATCATCACCTCTCCACCCGAACGAGACCCCTACAGCCTACTGAGGACCGAGCTTGTGAGGCGGCTATGCCCATCTACAGAGCAATGCATCTGGCAGCTCCTCACGATCAAGGAAATTGCCAAACGTAAGCCGTCCCTATTCCTGAGATATCTCAAGAGTCTCGCACCACACGTGTCTGATAATGTCATCCGAAGTGTCTGGACCAGCCGGCTACCCCAGAACGTACAGAGCTTCCTCGGCAGCCAGAACAAGAGCAACTTGGAGGCCACAACCCTCTGCGTGGACCGTGTCTCCGAGGTCGAAATCCAGCCGGCGCTTGCTAGCGTTGGTCAACCCATGGACAACGCCGCACTTTGGCAGGAGATCGCTTACCTCTCCTGCCACGTGGCTGCACTCAGCGCTGCACAGGATCACCTACACGCCCACTTCAAGGAGCTTGACCCCAACCTGAGAGACTGAGGACCCAGTTCCAAGGATTCCCGCCCTGCCTTCAACAGCCACCAGCCAAGCAGCAAATCTCCCTCCCGTGGCGACATCACATCCACTACTTGCTGGTACCATCGCCACTTCAGCACTCGGATGCAAAATTGTACTCCACCCTGCTCCTACCGCCAGCAGGGAAACTGACAACACAGACATCACCGGCGGCACGTGTCTGCGCTACGACAGGCCACCTCTTCATAACGGACAAAGTCAACAAACGGCAGTTCCTACTCGACACGGGTTCAGATCTCTGTGTGTACCCCAGCAGGCTCGTTCCTTGATGCAAGGAATGCACCAACTATGACCTGTGTGTGGCTAATGGCACTACCATCCACACATACAGACGGCTGCCTCTCAGCCTCAACTTGGGCCTACGCCGAGACTTCACGTGGCGGTTCATGGTGGCCGACGTCACGCATCCCATCATTGGTGTGGACTTGCTATCGCATTTCGGTCTCCTGGTGGACTGTCAGAACAACCGCATTCTGGATGGGTCACGTCGCTGTCAGCCCTGGCCTCAGCGGCCGACGCAGTGATCCCCAGTGTAAAGACCATCAGCAACGACACACCGGTCGACAACCTCCTCACAGAGTTCCCGGACCTGACCTCTCCAGCTGGAGTCCAGTGTGAGATATGACACAACACTGTCCACCACATCAGGACTGTACCTGGCCCACCAGTAACCTGCTGACCACGGTGACTGGCACTGGACTGGCTCGCTATCGCAAAAGCCGAGTTCTACGCCATGTGGCGGAATGGTACAGATCGCCGCTCAAAGAGTTCCTGGTCCTCATCACTGCACATCGTGTCCAAGAAAGACAACGGTTGGTGTCCATGTGATGATTACAGAGTGCTCAACTCCCAAACCATCCCTGACTGCTACCCTATCCGCCATATCCACGACTACTCCCACCAGCTTTTTGGCTGTTCTGTCTATTCCAAAATTGACCTGGTGAGAGCCTACAACCAAATCCCTGTCCACCCTCTAAAACATACAGAAGACCGCCATCACCACTCCATTCGGCCTTTTCGAATCCCCTTTCATGTCCTTCGGCCTGCGCAATGCCGCCCAGACCTTCCAGAGCATACTTAGACGACAACCTTGTCTTCTCCCGGTCACTCGAAGAGCACAAACACCTATGTGTTCTCTTCAACCAACTCCAGAGGTACAGGATCATTATCAATCCATCAAAGTGCGTCTTCAGAGCACCCACAGTCACCTTTCTCGGCTACAAGGAGTCCGCCGAGGGTTCCAAACCTCTGGAAGATCGAGTGGCCCATCTCCAGGAATGCCCCCCTCCGAAGATTCCTAGGCATGCTGGAACTTCTACAGGTGATTTCTGCCACATGCACCAACCAAGCAGGCACCACTTCACGACGTCCTTTCTGGACCCAAAGTCAAGGGCTCCCACCCCATCACTTGGACACTGGAGCTCCACAGGGCATTTGAAGAGTGCAAAGTGAGTTTGTCACGCGCCACTCTACTGGCCCACACGGATCTATCTGCGCCACTTGCATGCATCACAGATGCCTCCATGTCCACCATGGGTGCCGTGCTACAACGCATAAGGAACACCTGGCAGCCCCTCGCCTTCTTTTCAAAAAAAACTTACCCTTGCCCAAGAGAAGTACAGCACCTATGACCGCGAGCTACTGGCTATCTGCGAAGCAGTAAAGCATTTCCACCATATGCTGGAAATGCGTCACTTCACAATCTTCACTGACCACAAGCCAATCACCTACGCCTTCCATCAGAAGTGGGATAAATGCTCACCCCGGCAGTTCAACCATCTAGACTTCATCTCCCAGTTCACAACCGACATCTGACACATCTCTGGACAGGACAACGTTGCAACCGACGCCCTCTCTCGCGTCAAGTCTGTCACTGTGCCACCACCTTACGACGCACTTGCCACATCACAGGACAGCGACGATGAACTCAGAGCACACCTGGGGTCAACCACTGCCCTGCGCCTCTCAGCATCCCACACACTGTTGTATTTGAGGTTCTTACAGTGGTGATCATGCAAAGTACTATCTTCTGGGATGCGATGCCACGTAGTAAGTCAGAAGTTCATAGTTTGGAGAACTATACTGCCTCCATCTTAAGGATCAAAGCGTAAACCAAGAAAGTAAAAAGCAAGCAGCAAGCTCACTCAGCTTTCTACTTACAGAATCCATATACCTGAAGTGCAGTGAGTTGGTGTAGTCTACGATAGGCAAGGACATTCCTAGCACTCTTTCAGTGACTTCCATATGACTGTCCAGATCTTCCAGCATGGACACAAATTACTGTAGCATATTCACTCAAGGCAACAACCGTGAAGCCACAAGAGACAGCAGTTTCTAGGCAACAGATTCATAACATGCAACAATGGAGTAACTGGGAAGAAATGTTCTTTATGCAGTCTGTGATAGCTACATGACATAACAAAAGAAGAACTGTTGGGAGAGGTATTATCTATGCGGTCCATGCCAAGGCTATTTAATGAGAAACAGCTATGATTAAGAGAGTCTTGAGATGGCAGTTTGAAGAGTAAGTGTGAGTTGTGAGACAGTCACCAGCCAGTAGGAACGTGAACACGAAAGCTGAGGAAGCTATGGTGTTGGAAGCCATTACAAGGTGACAACCAGTGAAGATACAGCACACTGAGAAGACTACATACATGCTATAGTGAAATGCAGAGTATGTGAATTAGCAGTAGTGCTATAGTTATTTGTAGTTGTTCTGTAGCAGTTCAAAGAATCCAAAACCCCATCTATAGTCACTAAATCACGTGACACTATATTTAATGAATAATGTATACAAATAGTATTCAGTGTTAAATTTCATGGTAATTTATTCAGACAGAGTTTTCAGATGCATGGATGGGCAGTGATAACAAGTGTCTGTTCCTAAACCTGAATTGAATCCAACCGATCTTCAGACTTCTTGCATGCCCTTAGTTCAATTTTATTTCAAATGTATAAGCAAGCAGATACTGTACTAACCTTGACTTGTGTTGAGCCATCTCCTGTGTTGAAATGGAAAGTCTTTTGGGTTCTTCATCATGGCCAGCAGTCCATACTCATCTGAGAATATACGTACTTTGCTGCACAGCTGACGCTTTTCTTGAAACACTCTGTTTTGCAAATCATCCTGAAATATTGTAGATTGCTCCACTAAATAGCAATAGACATAGAAGACGTCTCAGGCCCATGGTTGCATTTTTCAATTAATAACCAAATATAAATTACTACTTATCAGAGTCAATCAAAGCACAGTCATGAAACACCTCAATCTCACTACATCCTCTTAATCTAATCACCAAGAAACATTAATGTTGCCAGGCAACAGCTCTGTAAACATGGTCCAACATGCAACAACAGAGGAAGCTGTGTTTTCTGTAGGTCTGACCAACGTGCCAATAGACTGGTTGGATAGCGATCACATGATATACAGTATGTTTACTGTAGGTCCATGTCTGTTCTGCGGCTATATAACAAGAGCCATTATCTGTAAGTTCAGAGCAGACTGGAATCAGGAGTACAGAAGAGTACAAGAGGTCAGCCTGTGAGGATTTAACGTGTGATTTGAAGACTTTATGTGTGCAGTAGTACAGTGATATTGGGAGTGAGAGACTTTTATAGCTCCTACGTTATAAATCCATTGCCAGGAAATGGATAATGAAGACTAGTGGAAATAGGCTGAGAAGAATAGTGTGGAGTGATAGTAAATTGTGTACATCAGCAGTAGTGTAATAATTATTTTCACCTACAACCTGTAAGTTGTTAATAAATCCAATTACCAATCAAATCCCTTCTTTAGTCACTGTGACACATGACATTAAAATATTAGCCTATCATCTTGTTGATATTCCTATCAGCTGCATTTAAGGATGCTTTCTCAAAATATCGTGTTTCTTATCTCATTATTAAATTATAAGTTCAATCCATCATAATACCCTTGACTTCAATGTCCACTCTATATCAGATGACCTGAATAAATGTACAATTTTATTATATTGTGACGTGTTGTGCTATGCAGGACACCCCTCCCCCCACCAGCGGTGACGTAACACCATCAGAGCGCTGTTGTTACTAGGGTAGCAGGCAAGTCAACGCTCCTTCCCCTACTTTGCCAGCTGTGACGTGGCCAAGGGATGCCGCGGTTGCTATGCAGCCGTAAACAACTCCCGACAGCGTTGCCAGTAACACCTGTAAACACGGCGCCAGACAACAGTGGTGCCTATTATGTGGCTGTTTTCTGTGTTGTCTGGAACAAGGCTAAATAAGGAGCAGCGAAGAATATTCACAGTTAGTTCTCGAGGAATGAGTTAGCCAGCAGTGAGTCAGTTAACCAGTCAATAGCTGTCTAAATCATTAACCAGTCAATAGCTGTCTATCTTTCGTGGGAGTATTTGTGATACTGCCAATGGCAGTAATTGTCAGATTGTAAGAGCGAATGTGCAATAAAATTCGCTATATCGAATAAGACGTGAATTTATTTATTGCGTTATACAGTCACACGTGACAATATAATATCCTGTACTCACCAACTAAAGAACCTCTTTTGGCTCCAAATGTGTTTGTGAGCACTTCATCTGATCAGAAATATATTTTAAGCTGTCTTCTGTACGTGTGTCAGGAAATTAAAAATCTCGTTAGTAACTCTCTTACTTGAATGGTGTCATGACACAGCAGTTGGAAGAAGTACTAGTGCAGGCAAAGTGACTGCTTTATCCATAGAATTATTATCTTAATCAACCATTTGTTCTGAGTCATTTTGTTTATGATTATTAATAAAACTGTTACAGGATATAATTTTCTCATCCAGTAGTAGATATGCAACATACACAGTTTCTGGGAAAAAACTCTTAGAAAGATAAGATCTAAACATTTTGAAAATGGTACATTAATATAAATATTATATTTTTGGACATCATCCATTGTCCTGTTTATTTTTCAAAACACATCATTTTGGAGACTGCATTCTGTCTCCATCTTCAGGTAAAACATACTCAGTTGGGCCAAATTGATAGAGCTGGCCCCTATTTCCAGACCTTAGAAAGATATTTGGACCTAAAGTGAAGGAGTTTTAATTTAATTTAGTGTTTTTAATGATATTATTCTAGCTCAGACTACAGCACTAAATGGTAAGATGATTAATGAATGATTAATTGGAAAGAAATGTGGAAGGAAGTAGTTGTGACCTATTTCAAAAGTACTACCTTGGCATTTGCTTCAAAGGACAGAGAAAACCTACAAAAAACCTCAGTCAGGATAGCTTGTGGCCTGTCAGGGGGAAGGAAATAAAGTGAAAATTTAGGATACTACACAGCAAGGAACTTCATGATTAATGCATGTCACCTAATATTGTGAGAGTAGTGAAATAGAGACAGAAATGTAGATGGAGAAGAAATGCAATCAGAACTTCGATACACATACAGTATCTCCAGGAAGGTGACTGTTTGGAGGACTCAGAGCAATTTTGTGTGTGTGTGTGAAAAGAGTTTGAAAATTAATGAACCTGGTAACATTACTCTTTGATGACCTAGATCAAGATGGTACACATGCTATGTTGCTTCCTCAGGTGTGTTAATTACAAGTGCAAAGGTTATCATTTTCCATACCCAGTCTATGTTTGTATGAACTCTTGTAAGAAACATATTTGTCCATGGCAGAGTAAAATTATATTTCATATGTTTTAAGGCAGAGATGTGGAATGAAATTTGGTGTGAAGCCCAGGAAAGCAGTAAAGAGATGCTAGAGATGTTACAGAATGCATATGGAACAGAAGAAATGATCTGAGCTACAGTGTTTCAATGGTGGAAGTACTTTGCAGACAGAAACAAAGGAGTGCTTGATGACACTTGAAGTAGGAAACAACGCACTGCTGTAAGAAAAGTGAGCATTGACACAGCTGAACAACTGCTGAAAGACAGGAGTTCATCATTAAGGGAACTGTCTGGCCATATAAAAATGTCACTGGAAAGGCTCTGCCACAGTGGAATTAGGCATGAGCTGAGTGTGAGAAAGTTGCATTCTTCATGATCTCAGTGATGAGCACAAAACAAAGCATGTGAAAGTCTGCCAGTGATATGTTATGCTTGTTGAACAAAGTCCTGCATTTCTATCAAGTGTAATCACCTGCGGTGAGTTTTGGATAAGATATTATGGCCTTGAATCAAAACAGCAGTCAAATGTTTGAAAACAGAAAGAAATTTCACACAGCACCATAGTGAGGAAAAGTGATGCTGATAGTGTTCTTTTGTCTCAAAAGACATTGTTCTTCAGCACTGGCTATCTCAGAAGCAAACTGTGAATGGTGTTTACTATGCATATGCATTTAAAATTAATTTAGGAAAGCTATTCAGAAAGAAGTGACCAGAGTTCTTGACAAAACTGTAGTTCCTGCTTCAAAACAATTTACAGACTTACATTGCACTTGATGACAGTGGTGCTAGCAAACAGCAAAAGAACACCTGTAGAACGTGCACCCTACAGTCAAGATGCCCTGCATGCAATCTTTTGGCATTAAAAATCCTTAAACATTAGCTATGAGGACAGAAATTCAACACTGACACTTAAATTAAACAAGCCACTGCCACTACACTATGCAAGATGTCTGGAAATTGCATACTGCACATCTGAAAAGCAAGTAGAGGCATTGCAAAAAATGTTTAGTACGTGAAGGTGAAAAAGAAACAGTGTCCAAGCCTCAGGAATTCTCATACAGTGAGTAATGTGAGTACTTTCATTACTTTTCAAACTCACCTCATACATAAATGTACAAAAAGAATTCTGGATAAAATATTTTGTGTGCAAATGCATGAACATGGCAATAGAATAAACTCTTGCTATTATGTGTAACCACTGCTGTAGCAAATGTACAGTCTCAAGGGTTGAATATGGGAAATGGCTTGATGAACTGGAATATAACAAACATACAGGATATGCAGATATTCCTTTCTTCAGAATATCCTTAATACTTAAACAAGACTATAATCTTCTCTTTTCATTGGACCAAGATATTTAAATAGGATTCCAGTGGCAACTAGTGTCTGCAGCACACTGTAACATAACACATTCACTGCTAACCCCCATATACAGGGATTTTACCTGCTGGGCCAGCAATTTCTCTATGAAAACTACATTGTGAATATATTATATATAGAAAATAGAAAAGCAGTGAAAAATGATAATATCTCTGTATGTTTTCTCTCTTTCAAGCTTTGACAAGCTACACTTAAAGTTCCTGTGTGTTTTAAGTGACATCTGTAAGAGAAAATTACATTTACGTAGTCAGTGACAAACCAAGTGATGGGAGTGAAGTGCATCTTTTGCAGTAAAAATTAAATAATATAGCCAGCTACACATATCATAATTTCATTATGATCAATATATCACAGCTTTTCATGCAGCACACATGATTATAAACCATATAAGCATTCATGAAGTCTTATAAATAATTCTTGTCTAATTTAATATACTGTGACATGTTGCGCAACGGAGAACCCCCCCCCACCAGCAGTGACGCGGCAGGTGAGTCAGCGCTCCCCTCCCCCCCTCCCCTCCGTATGGTAACGTAACGCGCAACGCGCGGTGATGCAACAGGATGACGTGGCACTCATTACGCAACAGGCAACCACTGCGGCTATATAAGGGAACTGCACAGTGGCTACGAGTTAGTTGTAACGTAGCAGTCGGCCAGTTCAGTTGTAACGTGGCCATCGCCGAAGACAGTTCCGAGCAAGCCTACAAGCGAGTGTGTTATCAACGAGTTCTCAGTTCGCAAGTTACGAGCTACAGACGCATGTGTGAGAATCAGTGATAGTTCGTGATAACCAGTTATATTTGGAGTGTGTAATTCAGTGAGACTTGTATAGCTCCCGCGCTATTAATACGTGAAGACTCTAGAAGATAGTGTTAAGAGATTTTGTTGTAGGGTTTGTAAAGTGTGGAAACCCGTAACATTGTGATAATTAATTGTAGCCGATATTTGTAGATGGTTCAATAAACCAATTAACGATCTCTACGGCGTATTCAGTAACGAAACACGTTACAATACAATAACAGATCTAACCTTTCATAATATGCCAGCCATTAAATCTTAAATTAATCTTAAACAAATATCATGATTGCTTGAGCCAAATACTA